TTTGATAAGTCGTTGTTTCTTTTGAGCACGGCAGTTGAGATCATTTGTTGTGAAATCATACTGACTGGGATAACAGCGGGGTAGTGTGGGGGAATAACACCCATCTGCACATTTCTTTTATCCACATCCATAAAGACGTCGTTGTACTTTTCAATCATTGTGATGATAACTTTTCTTAGCATTGCAGCATCAGTCATTTCTCGTGTTGCGTCATTGTCTGGACTTCTAAAGAGGGAAGGTGAAAAGCACACAGCCAAGTTATTTGGTGTCATTTGAGTCAATTCAGTGTTGTCAGTGACTTTCCTTAAGAACCTTATTAACAACCAAAGAATGTTTTTGTTTTCATCAGGAAGTGCTTCGATTTTGGACTTGAGCTCCTTTTCTATATTGGAAGTGGTTGCTAACCCTAAAAACTCGTTGTATTTTGTCTTTGGTATCACTGAGTCTGGAAGCTCTCGCAAATACGATTTGATAACACCAGACGCTACATGGACATCGCCTATATTCTTGTATTCAATGTCCATACCACCATCAAACATTTCTTTGACTCTTTTTAGCTCATCATTTGATGAGGATATTCGGAAAATACCCTCAGTCATAGCACCGTTGTTACGTTCAAGGTAGTCGATGCAACGATATAAGGGAAGTGGAAATCTCCAACCACTTTTCTTCACACCAATGGATAACGGAATACCAAAAATTTCATTGCACTTCATACCAAGTGGTATGACCGCTAGCCACGCGGAATACTCAAGGTACGAGGGTGAGATAAATTGGTATATTTTGTCGTAACAAATTTCAAAAGCAAGTTCTTCTGATTCTTTGGGAAACTTTTTAAGCCACGATAGCTTTTTATGAAAGATGCCAGAGACTATAGGTATCACTAGTCGCTCTTTTGCTTTGTCGCTATGAGTATAAACATGAAGAACCTGGTCACTCAATTGCATGAAAACCTTTGTGAACTTTTTGAATTGCCCGCCTCTGATCTCGAGAAAGCTGCTATACTCCATTTTCAATTATCAAATTCAAAGATCGAATCAAAGAAGTTTTTCTTCGGTTTTCTGATGATACCGAATAATTTTAATTATAATTCTGATATTATTTTTTTGGCTCTTATTTTTAACATGTATTATTCGACTTCTTTTTCTCTATTTTTGAAAAATAGAAGGGGTTCGATTTATTGAAAATTTTAATACAATCATACACCTATTGCCGCTTTTAACATTGGTTTTATGACAAACTTTTTATTAGGTAAAATATATAAATAGAACAAAATTTTTATTTGAGTGAATATAATTTGGTCGACAAAATAATGGAGTAACCTATGTTTCATAATAAATATACCTATAAAAAATAATTGTTGATTTTGATATGATCAATAACCTTTCAAATTTAAAAAAACAAAAAAAAATAAAATAGTAAATTATAAAAACTATCTTATTAAAAAAAATTAAATGCCAATATCTAAACATTTAATTTTAATAATATTTAAATAATTCGATATAATAAATAAAATTTGTTTTATTATTTTTAAGATAAAAATTAATTGTAAAAAAAAACTCTTTTTAAATTTGATTTTTTTTGTTAGTTTAATTTGTTTGAAATTATTTTTTTAGTTATAAAAATATAACATTGAATAAAATCCAATTTGGTTTTTATTTCAATATAAATGCTTTTTTGATTAATCAAATAAAAAACCATTCTATTGATAATTCTTAACAACTATATTTTATTTAATAATTTGTTATAAATAATAGTTAATAACTCTATTTTAATTAACCAATAATAAGTATTTAAAATAATAACAATTGGAAGATTATAAAACAAAAATCAAAAGTTATAAAAATGGGAAATTTTAGGTTTATAGGACACTTTTCCCGTTTTTTAGAAATTTATTTATTAATTTAAATTACACTTTTAAAAAAGATAATAAACATTGAGAAAAGTATATTTATCATAGTTAAAAAATTAAAAAAAAATAATAATTTTAATTTTATTAATTATATTATTATTTAATTTAATTATAAACCAACTTAGAAAGTATTTATAAAAAAATTTATAAAGTGATTTTTTGATAAAATATTTTGAAATTGACTTGAAAATATATCTATTTTTTTAATAGTTAATGGTTTTTAAACCCATTTTTATACTAAATAAAAAAAAATAATAAAAATAAATTATAACAAATCCTTCTTAAAAAAAACACAATTTGATGTTTTTGTTTTATCAAAAGTAGGTTTAATTATTACCTTTATTTTGGTTACTTTATTTTTACAATACAAGTTGAATAATGATGTTAAAAAATCAAAATATTAATATTAATAGTTTCTTTTACTAATTTTAAATCACTTTTATTATTATTAATATCAAATTATAGTATTTAATTATATCTTATAATAAAATTCAATATTAAATATAGTTCATATTTTTGGGTTGACCAATCATCAAGACAATAAAGAACCTTGCCCCAAGTTTTGACTTCACAACAAATTGTTATTAGCTTTTATAAATAAACGAAGTACTCTTGGAATTGACAATAATTATATAAACTAAACACCTATTTTAACACTTTATTTTCACTATCTACAAAATATATAACAATTAGTAAAATAACTATAAATAATACAATTTCAAAAAACACTAGAAATGACGTCATTAACCAGAGTGTGGAGTGTGCTTCTAATAATTTGTAACTATTAAATTTTTGAAACTCACTAAATTATATATTCTCAATGAAGTCATTTATCAAAGTGAATATCTTTAAATCAAAATCGTCTGGTTTGTTATGACCGATCGTTGATATATTACACATTCTCATGATAAGGAGGATTGTTCGGGAGAGACTTGCGAAAGATAGACCCCAAATTTTTGAAGTTGGGCATACCATTCTTTATGTGGGAAATTGGTCAGTGTGTTCTTTTAACTCCCAAAGAAGGGGTTTTCAGAGTCACTGGTGATGTTTCCGTCGTCTCTAAAATGAAGAAAGAAATAGTGAAACATAACGATGTCACCTTTAAAACAAAGTACAAGAAGGACATTCACTCGATGGTTGCAGTCATCTCAACATTTCTACGTGAACTCCCAACACCAATTTTGAGTAATTCGAATAGGACCATGTTCTCAAGTATAATCACTCGATTTCATTGTGTTTCCGACTTGCCAAAAACAGTTGTAGCCCTTACATTAGCTTTGTCGACTTTAGATAAGACGAATAGAAAGTATTTACTTTTTTTACTAAATATGTATTATACACTTTGTGCAAACGACACATCAGGAACAGTCAATTTTTGTTTGTTATTATTTCATAAAAAAGTTATTATAATTAATAACTTTCTTATCATTATAGTATTTTTTATTAATAAACTGACTAGTTAAAATAAACTAATAACAAACTAATGACAAGTTAATACTGCAACTTGTGTCGCTCCTTCATTCTTCTCGCAGAGGTATTCGACAATGTCTGCGATGTCGTACACAATAGAGTCTCAAGTGCTTATCATTTCGACGCTAATTTCGATGTACCCACTCTTAAGTTTCGTTTGTTCGTATTAATACGTGTCTTTCTAACACACAGCAATTTGAAGAATCTCATGAAGTTCTCTGTACCAAGTATAATATCTCTCAAGAGCAATATGAAACCTTCTTGGCCTATCCTGAGTCATACAATCTTGGGAACATTCATTTTAGTTAAAATGGGACATCAGTCAGTTTCTCTTGTGTATAGAAAAGAAGACCAACGAGGTTATTCTTTAATATCGCCTTTCTGTTTTATTTAGTATGGATTTCATTCGCGTTGTTAAGAAACTATTTATAGGTATATATAGAATAATTACTATTATTCTATCTAATATATAACTAATAAAAAATGTATAGTAAATCAAATTAGAAATCAGATACTAAATGTCTTCAAATTAGTCTTGTTCAATTACAATACAATCTATCTTCCTCAGATAGAAGGTTTCCCATACTTGAAACTCGTTGCAACTAATATCCAAGTCAACGTCCTTCAACTTCTCGCAGTCAATTTCTTCCCAGTTCTTCTCCTCAACAGTGAAAAAATCCTCATAGTCTCTACTACAAGCAAGAAATCTGTCGTACTCGCAGTCGAAAAGAAATGTCACTGTTTTGGGGCACACAGCTTCCGCAGCAAGTTTGATCAAGAAGTCTTCGTTGAATTGAAAAGCACTTGGACGGTGTTTGACAAGAGTTACAACGACTTCCAAAAATTGCAGAAAAACAGGGGAATTCTCACTTGTTTTTGTATGAAGTCTTGTCATGAACTTATGACCAGCCAAAATCCACTCTTGATAGATCAAGTCGAAAAAGCCTTTGATTGTTCGTGTCTTCTTTTCTAAAACAAGACGTGTGAGTGCAGACATTTGTGCTGTTCTGTCCCACCCATCACTACAATGGACCAACACATTCACTTCACTCCTGATCAAGCCAACAGCCATTTTCACACAGACTAGAAGACTAGAAAGAAGTTCCAACCAGCCACTTATTTTTGAAAAGTATTGTGTTGGTGTTAATGTTTTTCGGTCACGAAGTGCATTTCTCATGTTAGCAAATGTGTTTCTCACTTCGTGGATATTTGGGATATTCAAAAATTGAAGATCTGTTTTAGTGTATGTGTTTGTGTTCTCGTACCCACCCCCATTCACTCGATTTGCGTTTGCATTAACCCTTGAGCGACAGTCTAAAATGACCAAAGTTGATTCTTCCGACTTCCCAACAGTGCGTATACAATTGAGATATGTCTGGTCTTCTTTTGAAGCACTTTCAACAAACACACCGATATAGTAGTTTGAGTTCGCAACAAGAGGTTGTGCACTTCTGAAGAGTGAAGTATGTGTTAAATTATCTTCGTACATACAAATAGGAAGCTATACATCAATTTCATTGAAACTTACAGTAAGATGTTCAAAGTATTGTGTTGGGTATTATATAGTTTATATAATAATAAATGTTATAATATAATTGTTATACATATTAATAGTATATATTTACTATTATTTATATTATAGATTTGAACAAACTCTTTTCTTTGATCTAAAGTTGGCGCATTGCAATATCACATCATCACTTGCATCTTTAGGTACTACGAACACCTCTGGATATGTCTCACAGAACTGGAATCGTGGGTTTGAGTATTCTTTGAACAAGTTTGTATCATACTCGATGACGCTCTTTCTCTCAACTCCTCTATGTCAGTGTATTCTCAGTCTCAAGCAAAACACTTTAAATACAAACTTGTCTTATCTTGTCTGTAAAAGAGTCCTTTGTCGGGTCGGTTAATGATCCCACATTCCAAACATCTTTTCTTAATTGTAGTAACGACGGACTCTGAATCATTGGGTGCCATTGGGATGTTTAAAGAATTTGGCAAATCTGCCTGATAAAAAGGATTTGGGGTAACAACCAACAAGCCGTTTGAGTAGCCGACATCGAAAATGGTGTTGAGTGGAAAGTCATACACAACGTTTTTCTTCTCCTCATTCCAAAGTACAAAAACAAATCTTCGAAAAGTGATGTAGATGATTCCTTCGACAGTCTTCGTCACAAGGAGAACCTCCTCGCTTTCTGTTAATTGAATTTTTGTGGTGAATTTGCATCCTTCCAATTGTATTGTGAACTGATCATCGTCTCTTCTGACTTTTGTTTTTATCAAGCAGTTTCTGTCGTATGGTGATGGACATAAAGTAATGACCTCTTCATTATTTGGAAGCTCATAAAGTGATTTAATTGGTTTGTCTTGATAAAACGCGTTTGATATATTTGTATAACAGAAAGCGTCGTACAGCGCGTCTCTCACATGACTTTGTTCCAACGGAATTGTTTCAATGGGGCGGTATAAAAACATCAATTTACCAGTTTTTAATTTATTTATTTATTTAAAATAGAATAATGTTAAACATCATTCACATTTAAATCAATACACATTGATTCTATAATATAGTTATTCATATTAACAAAATCATAGTTTTTATTATTTCATTTATTAAACTATAATAATATTACTCAAGTACTATAAGTTATAATATATTCATTTCAAAAATTAAATAAACTATAAATTTAATATTTTTTAATTTCAAAATAAACTATATATTAAGTTAAATATTTATAAAATGAAAACAATTAAAATAGAAAACAGTTTCGTTGTTTTACTATTTAAAAAAAACAAAGCAGTTCGTTTATAACTAATAATTAAACTAATTAGTTGGTTAATAAATAGGACTAAATTATAAATATCATCATATAATTAATTAAAACAATTATTAAAAACATCGACCCATTTCAACATAGTTTCTTTGTCTGGGAAGATGAAAATGAGATGTTTGTCTTTGCTTGTCACTCTGACACTTGATTTATTAGTTTGTGTTGGTGAAAATTTACAGTTGTCAGTCTTTCTAATGACATTTTCTGGGACGAATCTGAAATAGAATATGATGTTGTCGTTGTGGAGAATGGGGACAAGTGAGTCTGTCCATGTGATCATATCGTTAAATGCGAAACAGAATGATTGTACCGTGTTAACAAAGCATTCTCCATAGAAGGTACAGTATCTCCACGGTTGAATCAATTCGTCCATTCCATAGACCATCCCTCCAAGTGCACAAGACTGT